AAAAAAAGTTCTCTGAGTTTGTCATTATTCTTTTTTGTTTGGTTAACAAGTTCTTCAATATTAATAATAAAACTACTTTCATATCCTTGTGGTTTAACATTTCTTTTTTTAATAACTGTAATATTTTTGTTTTTGCTATATTCTTTGATTACTTTTTTTTTTCTATTTGTAATTTTATAGTAAACCTTGCTACTTAACGAATTACCAACTTCTTCACTATCAGATTGTTCTACTGTTCTTTTTGGTCCTATATTAAAAACTGATTCAAAGCAATTAAATATGCCTTGTTTTTAGTAAAGTGAAGATTATAGTAGGTGGGGTAATTTGAAGTGTGGAATTGAATATTTTAATAAAAAAAAGTAATAGAGCAAATATAAAATAAAGTTATATAATATATAAAAAATTTTGTATATTAATTGGCACCTAATTTGCTAATATAATTTATTTTTTATCCCATTTTTTTGGGAGTTGTCTAGTAGCTCACCTACAAAATTTTTCTGGCATATGATTTTTAGCTAATTAGATTGAAAGATCAGGTGTAATATAAAATCAAACAATCAAATATGCAAAAGCAAAACAATCAAGATTTAGTGTAATAAATATCATCTTAGGCTAGAATTAAGGTCAAGAGATGGGCATAAGTTGTACTAAAATTTTGCAAAGAATTTTTTTTATTAGAACAAAAAAAGTAGGTTCATAACAAAATTTTGAATTATTGGTGATTTTTGTAAAAAAATAAAAAAAAATAAAAAGGTGTAATTTTCATGTTATATCTAATTTTTCAATCTAATTAGTGGTGGAAAAAATTTTGTGGAAATTCACTCAAAAAATTTTTTGGAATATGATTTTTAGCCAATTAGATCGAAGGATCAGATATAACATAAAATCAAAATAATTGAATTAAGCAAAAGATTTTAAAGTAATAAATTTTATTTTAGAATTAGGAATAAGGTCAAAAGAAAATATAGCTTATACCTAAATTTTACAAAAAATTTTTGTTGCAGCTGATGTGAAAACGGCTGAAGCTGAAATTTGGGATCTTGATTTAAAAATATAAGCCCTGCTAAAATCT